GCACTGGCCTTTATCCATTCCAGAATCGGCTTGATGTCCGGATCTTCCTGCTGTGCATGTAGTAAGCTGTCCTTCCACTCTTTGCTGAGGTGGTCTGCCCTGAGCATCCTCACGGATACCACTTCCTTACTCTCTTGCCTAGTACAATGTTTGCAATCTTCAGGACAAGGTCTTCTTGACAATGCATCTGCGTTGCCATGAGATTTCCCGCTGCGATGTTCGATCTCAAAGTCGTATTCCTGCAGTAGTTCAATCCACCTCGCAACTTGTCCTTCTGGGTTTTTAAACTGCAATAGCCATTTTAGTGCAGCATGGTCAGTTCGTAAGTGAAATTTTCGTCCCAGAAGATATTTGCTAAAATGTTGCAACGACTTTACCACAGCTAGCAATTCGCGTCTTGTGACACAGTAGTTCCTTTCCGGTTTTGACAACGACTTGCTGAAGTACGCTATCACGACCTCTTGGTCACCATTCCGTTGAGACAACACACCGCCGAGTCCTATATCACTTGCGTCTGTGTCAACTATAAATTCTTTGCTTGCATCAGGGTATCCCAAAATAGGTGTTTTGCACAGACGGTCCTTGAGCTCCTGGAATGCGATATTGCAACTTTCATCCCAGCAGAAATGTCGCTTCTCCTCGGTTAGCTTGTGCAGAGGTTTGGCTATATCTGCAAAGTTCTTCACGAATCGCCGGTAATAGGAGCACAAACCCAAAAATGCTCTAACCTGCGTCTTGTCTTTTGGAACCGGCCAATCCTTGACAGCGGCGATTTTCTCTGGATCTGTGCGGATACCTTCTTCCGATACTACAAACCCCAAAAAGTTAACTTGCCGTTGAAATAGTGAACATTTCTTCGGGCTCAACTTGAGGTTGGCACTCTGAATCTTCATGAGCACGCGTTCCAGGTTTTGAAGGTGTTCCTCAAACGTACGGCCCACGATGATGATGTCATCCAAGTAGACCAGACAGGCATCGCCAATTAGCCCGGTAAGTACAAGTTCCATCAGCCTTTCAAACGTTGCTGGAGCATTGCACAACCCAAACGGCATTACTTTGAATTGCCACAGACCCTTTCCCGTCGAGAACGCAGTTTTCTCCTTGTCCTTAGGGTCAATTTCAACTTGCCAGTAGCCACTTTTTAGATCCAGCGTGCTAAACCATTTTACTCCTGTAAGCATGTCCAGTGTGTCATCAATTCTTGGCAAGGGATAGCTGTCCTTCTTTGTAACGTCGTTCAGACGGCGGTAATCAACACAGTACCGCATGCTGCCATCCTTCTTTTTTACCAGCACCACTAGTGAACACCATGGACTAGAGGAAGGTGCGATAACACCATCCTTCACCATTCCTTCAATCATGGTTTCCACTTCCTTTTCACGTGCTACCGGCAATCTTCTTGGCCGCTGACGGATAGGCAATTCCTCTCCTGTGTTTATTTTGTGTTGAACTAGGCCAGTCTTTCCTATGTCAGCATCATTTGATGAGAATACATCGGCGTACTTGAGTAACAACTTCTTCGCCTTGACCAATTCGTTCGGGGACAGGACACTGCGACAGTCTTCCAAAAGTGTGGTCACTCTCGTTTCTGAATCCTTGCTGGGGGTCCCACTCGATATATATTGGCACTGACGTAACCAATCCACTTCCTCACAAGTACCAACCAGTGTGCCTTTTTCTATAATCTGTTCCCGGTCGCAAAGGTTCAGCACACGTACTCCTGAGATGTCAGTGGTCCTGACCAAGGTTCGAGCTACTTTCCATGGAAGGTCATTGTTTACCCTTTCCACAAGTACACAACGGTGAGCTTGCCCAGCGTTTCGAGGTAGACTAACCGGAACAATCGTTTCCGATCTCGGCGGAAGAACAATCTTCTTGATGCTGTACACGTTCCCTGGTAACGCACCTTCCATAAAAAGTTCCTCCTGTCCACATTTCAAAACACCTTGCTTAACGTCGATCTCACAACAATTATTCCTCATAAAGTCTAGGCCCAAGATGCAGTCGTCTATTATATCAGCCACGATGACATTATGCAGGTAGATCACGTTGCCTAGCTTCAACTCCATCTCCTTCTCTCCACGGACGGGTATACGCTGACCGGTGGCTGTTACCAAATTAATGCGTTCTCGGTTGTACGCGGAGTCCCCAAGGAACTGACTTATAAGTTGGGAACTAACAACCGTACGAGAGGCTCCAGTGTCTATGGTCAGCTTACACGGCATTCCGTTGATCTCGCCCTTTATGATTAGGCTGTTCCCATCATGGGTTTGTGAGATCGAGATCCTTGGGGCTCTTTTAACATCAGCCAGCACCCGCCCCGCAGTTCTGGCTTTTACTCGTTTCCCTGCTGCTGCTGGGCGGCGCTGTTGGCCGCACTACCCTCCTGAGATCGTTCAATTTCCCTTTCTAGGGTTCGCTTAGGGCAGCTGGATCGAAGATGGCCCTTTTCCCCACAGCCATAGCACCTTGGGCTGTATCCTTTGTTGCGGTCGCGAACTGTAGCTGCTGCAACCTCCCTGACGCGATGGGAACGATGATCCTGTCGCACGGCTTCCACTTCCAGTGCATGGGCCAAGGCGTCCTTAAGCGTCTCGTGGTGCCCGAGCCTCACAGCAGCTCTGACTTCCAGGTCGCGGATGCCGTCGATGAATGTCTGCACCAGGTTCCCTTCAATGAGCGCAGGTACAGACCGGTATGCTTTTCGCACCAGCTTCTCCACTTCTAGAGCCCACTGCTGCAGGTTTTCGTTGATGCGCTGCACACGATCTTTAAGCTGCGCACGAAAGACGTGTTCCAGGTGAGCGTCGCCATATCTCGCCTCCAATGCCTCAAGGAGCTGCTCGTAGGTCACTTTCTTACCGAGAGCTTCCAACACAGTTAAGGCTTGGTCGCGCAGGCCTAAGGTGAGTGCAGTCATGGCCTGGCTTTTATTCCAGCCGTTTGCCTCCATGACGGCCTCGAAATGGATTTTGTAGGACGACCAGGAAGAGGTCCCGTCGAACGGCGGCACTTTGAATCCACGTAGCGAAGGTGTTGTAGCTACTACGGGAGCTGTTGTTCCATCCCCAAGTTTGAGGTCGTCCAGCGTTTTCTTCACGTCAGCCATTACGTTGTCAACCCGATTGTTTACTTGGTCGATTCGGGTTTCGGCCTCCGACAGGCGGTTGTCATGTTGAGCAACCTTATCCTTCACCTCCCGTATCTCTTTTCCGAAGATAGCGTGAAGGTCCTTCATGAGGAGCATCTGCTCTTCCTTATCGCGTTGGAGTTGCTCTTCTAAACGACGGGCCTGTTCCTCCTGTCGGCGGGCCTGTTCCTCCTGTCCGCCCCGCAGCTGCTCTTCCAATCGGCGGGCCTGCTCCTCCTGTCGGCGAGCCTGCTCCTGCAGCATCACCATCAGAGCACCTAAGTCAGGTGCTGCAGATGTAGGAGCTACCGACGGGCCTTCAGCCAGTGGCTGGCCCTCCGACGTCTGCGGCGTTGCACCACCAAATCTTCTTTGGTCCGTCTCCTGCTGGCGTTGACTTCGGGTACGGACACCCTCCGTTTCCTCCTTAGGTAAAATCGGCATGATTTTATCCCACTTCTGACACCAATTGTTACGAGCTTGAGGTTCGTGACAATAAAAATTGCCGATAAAATTACCTAAATTAACACTTTAATTTACTTTACACAATTAAAGTTAAAACACTAATAATTTAAACACACTAATTCACTTAATTCCACTCCGAAGCTTCGCTTGTTTCGCCCAAATCAACACTGCCTCGATCGCATCTTACAGCGCCTATATATTATCAATCGAAATATCCAGAATGTTCAAGTAAACACGCGGAAGGTACCGAGCGTTCGAGTTTCGACTAGGCGCTGTCAGTTGAGCGATTTGTGATGTCATTTTCTCAATGCTCCCCTCGCTCTCGTTCCTGACACTAGATGGCGCTAGTTGACTTATTCATGCAACAATATCATTATTATTGGGTTCGCGTAAATAAAAATCATTCTTATCCCTTTCTATTTAGATATAAGTTTGAGTGACAAACAATCATACTGTCTACCTGATGGTGAGGTCTACTTTGGTCCATAAGCACTGCCATCCATCTCCGATTAAAAATCAAAATACAGAAACGTTGTCACCCCCTTTTTTTTTTAACATGGGGAAATGTCTACGCATACCCGCCTCGCGGAGGCAAGGACGCGTTATGTCGGACTCGCACCGACTAAATACCCCATGGTGTTCCACCTTCGTCGCATATTGGCAGGGCTACGGGAACGCTTTCGCACACATCCGCGGCCCCACCAGTGACTGCCGCCCCATGGCAGCACCTCATCGGGAGAGGAATATTCCTCCCCGTTCTCCTTCCCAAGTAAGGCGCACCAGAACACATGGCACGCCTTCCTCCACGGCCTCCAATTACATCTGCGCAACAGACGCCCCCGCGTCCGATGCGCGAAGGCATTGGGCCAGGAAAAACGAGCACTTAGAAGTACTAGCCTTCCCGACCCCAGCGGCGGATCTGGTCTATGGCTCCGCCGCCAACCAAGATTCGGCTGCGGAGGATAGGGAGAGCGGCGCCTCGCAATACCGACAATCCTCTCCCCCCGCAGCCCCATCACCACCGCATCAACGGTGCGGCCCCGTTTGAGTCGCGGAGGATAGGGTGAGTGGCGCATCGCCATACCAACACTCCTCTTCCTCCGCGACTCCACCTCGGCTGCAGCGGTAGGTGGGGAGGACACACCTCTCATCGCAGTCCACCAACACACATCCGAAGTGGGCTTCCCAAGCCCACTCGGAGTGGCCACCTCGGGCCGGCCCTCCACCTCGGACCAGCCATATGGGTTCCTCTTTGTTTCGCCGTGGGTGACCAAGCCACGGCTTCTAAGCCCCCCCCCGCCACGACAAAGCGGGAACCCGTTCGGGGGGGACGTTGTCACCCCCTGAGGACTAAGATTGAATGTCTCGTCACCAATAATAAGAGTATACAACTATCCTTTTCCAGTTCCTGTGCAGCGAACTCTGTATCGTACACATTGGTGGGAGAGTCCTGTGTTGGCAGAGTGAGAAATAAGTACATGGTCATGATGACCTGCTTCATTCTGCTGTCTCCTGCATTTGCTGCTAGTGAGTATCCCGACAAATTGTTTTACTTTAACAACATAATACGATTCTATTTGGACTGCCTTGTTGAAGTCTCGGGCTCGATTCCCGGTTTGGGCCAACAAAAATCAATTAATGAGTTTTACTGTCAAGAAATTTATGTATTATCGTCGACGGTGTGTCCATCAACGATAATACGAGTACAACCATTATCGTCGTACAAGAATTATCGTCGATGGTGAGTCTTTCCTAGTGGTGGTGGGATTAGTGGTGATGGGATTAGTGCATGCAATAGAAGGAGGGCGGGGAACACATCATTTTATTTTATTGAGCGGATATGTGCGGGTTAATTCTTACCAACTTTTTTTTTAAATTATAGTATTCGGATCCAGAATACAGTAGAATTGACAACTCTTTTTCACATGGGGAAATGCCTAGGCAAACCCACCTCGCAGAAGCAAGGACAGGTTATGTCGGATTCGCATCGACTAAAACCTCATGGTATTTCACTTTCGCCGCATATTGGCAGGGCCATGGAAACGTTATCGCACACATACATGGCCTCACCGGCGCTGGCCGCTCCATGGCAGCCCCGGCTCGTGGGAGGACTTTTATAATAGTGTTTATGTAGTGGACACCATTTAGGTTCGTTTTTGAAATGGTACTTCTGAGTTCTGTATACATTTGCTTCCAGTTTTAACCTACCCAATACTGAAACTTGACTTCGAAGTGCCGCTATCATTGGGAATTGTCTTCAGACCCTGGCGGTTGCTAAACATAGTCCTGGCTTTGCCGTCTGGGGTTGGGGCGGTTGCTGCGTATTTCTTCCATGAATCGCCGAAGTTCCTCGCCAACTGCGGCAGGAAAGAAGAAGCTCTCGAAGTCATGAGATCCATTTATGCTGTCAATCACTCTTGTACTAAGGAAGAGTTTGGGGTGAGTCTAAAGCTATTGGACATAATAACCTTACAAACTATTTTTTTATTAATTAAAACTTCTTTTACGGATTTTATCGCGTTTACTTTATTTGATTTTTAATTCTCGACGTTTCGGGTGCTTTCCAGTTCCAGCTGTCAGTGTTAACCCGATCTACGCAGAATGAATTTACTATGTCTTGAAGTCTTGCATTTTTTGCATTGCATAGTTATAACTTTATTAATTACAAGGTCCCAAGCGGGTGGTAGTACCCAGCCTCCTTCTCTATTAAAAATTGGATATTTTTCACGTCTGTGAAGCATCAACGTTATGAGAAGTCTGCAGTTTGTGATTATACCCTAGACTGCTCCCAACATTACATCAGATTTGATAGACCACAAATCCTCGCAAAAGAACGTCGTTTCCTACCAAGAATGATACGTGAGGGTATTATATTAAAAATATCCTAATTTCAATAGAGAAGGAGGCTGGGGACTGCAACCTATTTGGGACTTTGTAATTAATAGAATTAAAACTAAACCCAAGCATACCACTGCAAGACTTCAAGACACAGTAAGCTCATTCTGCGTAGATCGGACTAAAAATAATAATTAAAAAGCTGATTAGGTACTTCGGGTTAATAATGATATCGGGACGTCATTAACCTCAGTCCCTCGTGACTATGGGTGCTGAAAAGCACCCGAAACGTCAGGAATTACAAATCAAATAAATTAAACGCGATAAAATCCGTAAAAGTAGTTTTGTTCTTTTTTTGTACTCTTTGTTGCTAACATATCAATATGTAGCGATCGCGTAAATATACTATATCATTATTTTTTTTTTGGTAAAACTAAAGTGACAAAAGAAATACCAGTGCGCCTGATCGTAAGTGGCCACCTGATGATAAGTCCTGACGGTAAGTGGATGGTAAGCTCCAGTCCATTGACATCTTTAGCCAACTTCAAACAAAGAAGACTATAGATCAGTTATCACTCATGTGACCTTAGATGGATTCCAAGACCTGTAATAATACTGGCTCTCTATAGCCTCAGCCCATAACACAGTGTACTCTATTATTTTGATACGAAAATAGGTAGAAGAGTGGAACCAAACCAGATAGACTCTTAGAGAGAGAAGGGGTAAGTATGAGATTGAAACCCAAAATTTCATTAACAATTTCAAATCTTACTCAGTTTGCTTAGGTAGGGATATCACAATTTTTAACAGGAATTTTTTAATTACATTTTTTTTTAATATAAACGAGCACACAGTCCACCTGATGTTAAGTGGTTGCTGTGGCCCATAGACATCTAGGTCTATCCTCAAATGCGAATCAAAATGCAGATACTCATGCACGATAATGCTCCTTCCCATACGGCGCGACTGGTGCCGGCCGCTCTCCGAGACCACGATATTCAAGTTTAGGATTGGCCTGCACAGTCGCCCGACTTAAATCCTATCGAGCATGCCTGGGGCATGTTACAACAAGAAGCCTTGAGAGATTTCCCGCCAAATTTGACGACGGAACAACTTTACGAACACTTGCAAAGACATTAAAATTTTATTAAATAGAATCAAAATGCAAACGCGTTGTCACTCGTGAGGACTAATATGGAATGCCTCGTTCCCAGCAAAAAGGGTCTCCAGTACTCTACACTCACCATACGATACACAACAACGTTAAGCTGTTATTTTACGTTGGTATTCTACAACTATAAAACTATAATACTTATATAGCTGCGTTGTTGTTGAGATCCACCACTTAGCCCGGACGAATTTCTGGGCTGAAAATATTGATTAGTATTACAAAAACCGATTCAAAACTAGAACCACTCTTGATCGTTATCGTCGTCTTCGTTTCTCTAAACCCTCCCCCCCAATAATAAGGGTATTCTCAGAACGAAAGAAATCGACGTAGTCCAACGTGTTTGTTACTTAAAATGCCAATAGGCTGGCTTGCTCGAAGAACTTTTATTGTAATACGTGGTAGAGCCACGCTGCAGCTATATTATGGTTGTAGCACGAATGGGTCGGCTCGACCGGGGGAGGACCACGATTGCACAGAATACCAGTGAAAAATATCAGCTTAATACTGCTGTGTTTCGTGTAATGTAGAGATCCGAGGACCCTTTTTTACTGGAAACGAGGCATTCCATCTTAGTTCTCAGGGGTGGCAACGCATCTGTGTTTTGATTCTTAATCGTGGATAGATGTCTATGGGCCACAGCATCCACTTACTATCAGGTGGACTACCCTTATTCTATAAAAAAAACTAGATGATTTGACGACTTGTGGTAGACTATGAGACTGTTGGATGATCATTGTTGGACTTTTGATGGGGCTTTAATAGTAATAACTCTTAATTTTTATTATTAATTATCATATAAAATTTATGACTGTCCCATTGGTCTAGTGGATTTAGTAGTGCAACTGCTGATTATGAGGTTTAACGTTCGAATGGGGAAACCTGGTTGGGCCAAAAAAACTACTATCGAGTTTTATCATCAAGAAATTCTCACTAGCCACCCGGCACGAAGGGAAGTTGGCGGTGTCTCACCCCGTACCTCGAAAAGCACGTATAGCCGTTGTTCCTGCGCCTGAACTCACTCCGGTCGTGTCGATGGTTTATCTCATCGGACTATGAGGGTGAGGGAATAGAGAGTGCACCTGTGCTTGCGCATACACTCGGGCACTATAATCCAGTCCTGCTCCGATTGCTAGTATCTGATGATAGAATTATAAATATCTGGCCGCCGTGATAGAAATTCTGTCTGGAGGACATTATTATTAATAATAATGATAATCTTTGGTATATCTCCATATTCCAAAAACATTCTGGTATTCGGTTTATCTTGAAATTGCTCGCTTCGACGATTCGATGATAATCATGAATGTTTCTGGTTTTATTTTCCTGTACTCACACATATTATGTACTATACACTTTTTTTTAAAGAAATTCGCAAATATGCGAATTTCTTTCAATCGATTTATTGGCGGTATAGAAACATCTACTACCCCCTTTCGTAACATGAATGTCGTACGACACAGGGAAAGAAACAAGGAGATACCAGGCCAGCATACACTTGATTAAGAAATAAAATGCAGTTGTGATATCATCCTTGAGGACTAATATAGAGATAACAGTTAACACAGGACTCCACAACTATACTTTTTGTAACGTGCATCAGAGACCTTTTCAACATCTTCCAGTGTGTATTAGGTGCGAACATACATCTCGAGCTACATTAGAATTCATAAAATCTTACTAAAAGCTATTACGCGCAGGCAATCGTAATGTTGATCACCGACCAACATGATTAGTTTTAACTGTTCATTCATCAACATTTCAGGTTACGTCTTTTACCATGACTGAAGTGGAAAAAAAGAAAGGATCCCTTATCCGGTCAATGTTCGAACAGAGCGCCCCTCTTTTCCGACCTCCCTACTTATGGAGAACTCTACAGCTCTATTATATAGTCGCTGTAGTTTTCATCACGTAAGTAGCAAGAAAACCTTTTTAACCGGTTTTAAAATACGTAGATTCTCTGTGTCTCGTATGTTTTTTTTATAAAAATGAAGTTACAATTAAAGTAACAGTCCTGCTGGTGTTAAGTGGTTACTGTTGTTTTTTGTTCATGCATTCACTTACCATCAGTCCATCTGATGGTAAGTGAATGCTGTGGCCCATAGACATCTACATTTATCCTTGATTAACAACCATAACTCGGATGCGTTGTCACCCCTGAGGGCTGAGATGGAATGCCTCGTTTGCAGTAAAAAAGGGTTTCCAGATCTCTACACTTACCATACGAAACACAGCGACATAAAGCTGCTACTTTATGCTGGTATACTGTGCAACCAACCCTGATGAATAAGATAGAATGCCTCAAAGTATATAACACAGACACACACACACACGCGCGCGCGCCACGCACGCACGCACGCACGCAACGCGCACGCACGCACGCAAGCACGCACGCACGCAGCACGCGCACGCACGCACGCACGCACGCACGCAAGCACGCACGCACACACACACACACACACACACACACACACACACACACACACACACACACACACACACACACACACACACACACGCACACGCACACGCACACGCACACGCACACGCACACGCACACGCACACGCACACGCACACGCACACGCACACACACACACACACACACACACACACACACACACACACACACACACACACACACACACACACGCACACGCACACGCACACGCACACGCACACGCACACGCACACGCACACGCACACGCACACGCACACGCACACGCACACGCACACGCACACGCACACGCACACGCACACGCACACGCACACGCACACGCACACGCACACGCACACACACACACACACACACACACACACACACACACACACACTGTCTCATCTTCACTTCTTTATCTTGGCCCGAATACGGAAGTGCATATTTGGGGGTAGAACGTAAGAGGATGGTGCATACTCAGACAGACTCCTGGGTACTACATCCTACCCAGCTTGTGTTTGGATGTGCACGATATTTTCATAAAATACTTGGTTTGTATGACACATTCACTTTCACTCTTTTATACTAACTTAGTTATTTGGAACGCGCTGCTACCCATCTCTTGATTTTTCCCTTTGGGACACCCACGGGACGATATGGGGCGGTGGATATTATTACTCCGCCCATAGACGGTAATGCGATAAAATGTATAAAAGTGGTCTGTACATATACTTACGAGAAGGTTATTTTAAAGCAAAGCTTATATTTTTATATAATGAGAGTGCGAAACAAGCACTCGATCCACCTGATGGTAAGTGAAAGCTGTGGCCTGTAGAAACCTAAACATAGCCTCGATTAAGAATCAAAATGCAGATGCGTTGTCACCCCTGAGGACTGGATAGGATGCCACGTTTCCAGTGAAAGGATCTCCGGTGAGTGTAGAGACTCACTATACGAAATACTGGTATTCTGTGAGAACGTGGTCCTACCCGGTCGAGCCAACTCACTCGTGGTTCAGATATAATTTAGCTGCAGCGTGGCTCTACCACGTTAAATACAAGAGTAACAATGGAACGAACAGTCCACCTGATGATAAGTAGCAACTAATAAGAAACTACTAATTAGCTAATTAGCATAATTTCCTACTCTCTCATAATTTGCTCAATTTTATTAAACAATTGAACGGCAGATTCAGAAAGGTACGTCCTAGGCGCAAGTTTATCGACCAAATGTGCGATATATTGAAAATGAGCCAAATTAGGAGTACCCTTAACCGACGAGCATGAATGCGTATTTATATAGATGTGGAGGAGACGAGAGAGGTGTGTCAGAATCGTGCCAAATGGAAGTCTGTAGTCTCTGCCTACCCCCCCTGGGTGACAGGCGTGAGTGTTTATGTTATGTATGTAAGTTTGTATTAAACACAGGGCTAAGCACATAATATTACTTTGTGGGTGTTGGTGTGTGTTACACGTTAAAGACTTATTATAAATAAATCGTCTTGTATTACATCATGTATAACTGATTTGTTGTACCAATAAAATAAAAGCGTATAGGCACCAACGCAACAACCAATAATAACCAAACTCAAACAAAGCGGCACACAGATGCCTTGTCAATCCTGATGACTAATTTTATGTGCTGCAAACTCAGGAACAAAGAAAATAGACGCAATGATGCGAAAATTTTAACTGACGCTGAAACTAAGCCTAAACCATGCTCTGTTTTATAAAACCCGCACTCATACACACGTGATTAGCAGCCAGCATGTTAAGGTGCCTTTTTTTAGAAAAAAAAAGGCTGTTAAAGAAAGAATGAAGACATAATAAATATGTGTGCGTGAGTTCGTCTTATAACTTACATACTTTGGTGTCACTTAGAATTTGGCGTAGCGCTCCGTATATCTTTAACAAGGGTAGAGTTTTGAACAAGGGTGACGAACAAGGATACAGCCGATGATAAATGGAAGCTGTGGCACTTAGACATCTACATATATCCTCGATTAAGATTCAAGATACAGATGCGTTGTCACCCCTGATGACCAAGATGAAATACTTAGTTTCCAGTAATAAGGGTCTCCGATTCACTAAACTTACCATACGAAACACAGCAGCATTAAGCTGCTGCTAATTTATCCTGGTATTCCGTGAGAGCGTGATATTTTCCCGTTTGTGCTAACATACTCTTGCTACAAGTACAATCAAAATACAGTTGTGGCATATCTTTACTACGTTAAATGGGTATTGATACACATTTTTAAATTTTTAGGAACAACAGTTTCCTAGTGTGGCTTCCACATATACTAAATCTGATACGGATATCAATGGAGAACGACACAGCTACTGGTAACATCTGCGCTTTGATATCCGACGACAATACGCTTTCGGCTGCAAATAACACCGGCAACGGGTCAGTCAGTGGAACCACTGCAAACAAAATTGTAAGTAGTAAGCTAAGGACTTCCATTTCTCACGACCTTCACACCTTTATCATAAAATTATTTAGATAAGATCCGCGTATACAAAAATAATGTGTCCTACCTAGTCTGAAGAGCACTTACCGCCCTCAAGCAGTTACGTGCAATATCACCGTCACCACTAATCCCAACACAGCGATGGTTGATCGCTAATTCAGTTACATTAATGTTAGATAATTCATCATCATCATTACAGTCCTTCACATGTCAAATGTTGAGCATAGGCCTTCTCCAAGTACTGCAAAACACTGTCCTGAGCCATCTGCGGTTACCTTGTGAACCGGTGAGAAGAACTGATGGACGTGGGATTCTCCTGTTGTAGGGAAGATATGCCATAATTGCCACGCTATGCAGGCCGATTGAACTACCGCATTGCCAGGCGTCACCATTGTGACATACGAACTAACAACTTATTTAAAAAGTGATATCAGCATGACTCAGCTGAAGTGCGGTGGTTTTATTCTATAATAGAGCATTGTCGGCTCTTTTGAAGAATTGTAAATCGATTTCCCTTCTAAGCCCCGCTTATGTGATGTTTTCGAGAGTCGGTATGAATCGTCTCACACGCAGAGCCTCCCGAACTAGCCGGTTTCCAAAATATTATTTCATAAGTATACTGCTAAACATAGACCTCCCCTAACTTCTCGCAGGATAGCACCAAAATCGTATTTTTTGCCAACAAAGGAGCTAACAGAACATGATTGGGACTATGTTTTTTAAATAAGAGCTTACAATCATGTATGTGATAATAAACAACACATAACAAATTAGAAATAGCTTGGTAGCGATCACCCTTCCCAGGGGTTAATATCATCTATAAATTCCGTAATATTATAATAACCCTTTTTATACAAACTTAGTTTAATAAAGTTTTTGAACTTTGTGTATGTGAAATTTTGTATTTTTTTCTAGGATTTTGTTGTAAAAGCATATACATCGCCCCAAGAATGAATTACTGACTCGGTGGAGTCGAGTAACTGGTACTACTAGCTTGTGTCTGCTCCTAGTATTTACAGAATGAATATCACTTATTTTTGCTAAACTAATTTTATTTCTGTGTACGTACATTACATTTTCATAAATGTATTGAGAGGCCGCAGTTAATATATTAATTTCCTTAAATTTTTGTCTGGGCGACTTTTTAGGTTTTAAATCATATATTGCTCTAATGGCTCTCTTCTGTAAAACAAATATAATTTCAGTGTCAATCGCGTGTCCCCATAGCAAAATACCATACGACATTATGCTATGGAAGTAGCTAAAGTAAACTATTTAGCTATTTCAACACTGGTAAGAGTTCTTATCTTTTTTACAGCATATGCTGCAGAACTAACTCTGCTAGCTAGTTTTGATCTAAGGGGGCCCCATTGTAGCTTTGCGTCCAGTGTGATTCCAAGAAATTTGGTGGCATCAACAAGACTCAGCTCCTCCCAATTTAAAATTACATTAGTATTAACATGTTTGACATTCGGAGTTACGAATTTCATACATTTAGTTTTAGTTCCATTAAAATACTAATTATTAACATTAAAACAATTGACTAACTTAGCTATAGCATTACTTACTTCGTCATAATTTAGTAACTGTCATTTTAATTTGAAAATTAATGTAGTGTTATCAGCAAATAATACTATATCATGGTTATTCCCTACTATGTAAGGTAAGTCATTAATATACAATATATAGTGGCTACCTATACTCTTTAAACCGCAACACAACATTACACGCACTGTTGCTTGGCGAAAGAGATTATAAGAGATAGGTAAGGAATTGGTAACTATACAGATAGACTTTTATGCAGAAAAGTTATACGTGGTAGAGCCATGCTGCAGTTATATTTAGTAGTATAGTTGTAGCACGAATGGGTCGGCTCGATCGGGGATGGACTACGCTCTCACGGAACACCAGCGTGAAATAATAGCCTAATGCTGTTGTGTTGTGTATGGTGAGTGTAGAGAACCGGAGACCCTTAGTACTGGAAACGACGCATTCCGTCCTAGTGCTCACGGGTGACAACGCACCTGCATTTTGATAATCGAGGATAGATGTATATGTCTATGGACTACAGCAACCACTTACCATCAGGTGGACTGTGTGCTCGTTGGTTACCCTATCCTATAAAAATAAGGTATCCTACCAATAGTGCATTTCATTAAGTGAAGTTTATTCGCAAGAACTATCTTGTTTCATGAAAACAGAATCCAACATTTTTACTGAAGGATTAGTAAAATAGCTCCCTTGGTCTTCAAACTGGTACAAAGGCACACTTATTAAATAAAGTGCAATTTAAAACTTACTTTATTAAAGTTAGTTTGTATTAAAGAGGTTATTCTAACATTAAGACCCGAGAATCAGGTGAACGCCACTAAGAGATTTTTAATTTGTTTTACGTTGTTAACTGTGTAACATACATGGTTATAAGCCATTTTTATTAAAAAAAGTCCGCTGGGTTTCTTGCTGCTTCTTTCCAGGGCAGAGGAATTTTCCGAACCAGTGGTAATTAAACAAAAGAGTGATTTTATATAAGTATTATTTATAATCTACATTGAATAAAAAAGTTTATGTTGCTTTATAGTATTATATATAAATTTAAATTCCAGAATCCAGAAATTTGCCTTGGTACTATAGAAGACGATGTCATCATCACACTGATGCTATCTCAATCGGTCTTCGCGTTCTTAAACTTCGTAATATCATACCTCCCCAACCACAGGAGGAAAGTGATGATTTGCATCTTATGTCTATCGTCGTTAAGTGGATTTTTGGTCAGCACGACGCCAGAGCCGATATCCAGCGTGGTATTTTTCATGGTGTTCACATCAACATGCCTGGGCATGGGTATTTTAGCGTCGTATTTCGTGGATCAGTATCCTACTTCACATAGGTAAGACTCCATGAAAGAGTTTTGATGAAAACTAAATATTTATTTATTAATTTAACAATATGTACGTAATGATCTCTTAAATTTACGCGAACACTACACATTAAATAAAACTATATATACGGATTTTATCGCGTTTGATTAACTTATTTACTTTTAACTTGTTGAATAAAACTAAATTTACGGATTCTATTGCGTTTATTTAACTGATTTTACTTGAGGGGACTGAGTCCCCTCGTGACCATGGGTGCTGTAAAGCACCCGAAACGTCGGGAATTAAAAATAAGTAAAATCAGTTAAATAAACGCGATAGAATCCGTAAATTTAGTTTTATTCAATGTGTAGTGTTCACGTAAATTTAAGAAATCATTATTTTAACTTGTTTTTAATTCCCGACGTTTCGGGTGCTTTATGGCTCCCATGGTCACGAGGGGGATCTAGTGTAGAATTGCTAACACTGCGCTTAGCAGTACAACGCAGACACATGACTAATAATCGTAATAATTACGATTTCTGTGGTCATATTATGACTATATGATCGAGATTATATGGTCGGCTCATTGTTACTTGATCCTTCTGATCCTTTGGACTATATCAGTTACTTTTGTAATTAATATAATAATGTGTTATTATATTAACAATAAAAGTAACTGATATAGTATTTATTAAGCATGTATCAATCGTTAATTTTACCCGAGTCTCATCAAAGTATTGATGATTGCTACTTTTCAAACGTTCCGGATCAAACAATTGGCAAGACCCAACGAATATATAATCACTACGTTTACAAAACCTACGACTAAAGAGTAAAGTAATGTCGGGCGACCAACAATATCCAGCGGGTCCGACAGATCACAGAGTACTGAAACTCGAAATGATCCATTTGAATGATCAACCCGAAAAATCCGGTTCGAAAGACGAATCAATACTTGAATGATCGGGTCACTAGAAATTAATGAATTACACACGTCTAATTATTCGTTTGCATTCTTTTCAGAGGAATGGTGGCATGTCTGAGCATCATGGTAGGACGGAGCAGCTCCTTTGTGGGTATCAACCTGGTGGGCAATTTAATCTTCCATCACTGTCAAATAACCTTCTGTTTGTGGTCTTTACTTGTGCTAAGTAAGTCATCTTTTATCTTCGTCTTCTTCTTCCATTATCATTGCAGCGTATCAAAAGTCCACTCCTGGACACAGGCTTCTCTTATAGATTGCCTGACAGGGAGAAACAGAAACAGAAACTTTTTTATTCAATGTAGATTATAACAATACTTATTGAAAGTCACTTTTTTCATTTACCACTGGTTCGCAAAAAAAACCTCTGTCCTGGGAAGAACCAGCAAGAAACCCAGCGGGACTATTTTTTTTCCAATAATACACGCTTACAATTATGTTTACAATAAACAACACAAGACAAATTAGAAATAGCTTGGTAGCGATCATCCTTCCCAGGGGTTACTATCATCCATAAATTCCTTAATATTATAGTAACCCTTTTTATAAAAACTTAGTTTAATAACATTTTTGAACTTCGTGTATGGCAGATTTTGTATATTTTCTGGGAGTTTGTTGTAAAAGCGTATACATCGCCCCAAGAATGAATTACTGACTCGGTGGAGTCGAGTAACTGGTACTACTAGCTTCTGTCTGTTCCTAGTATTTACAGAATGAATATCACTTATTTTCGCAAAACTACTTTTATTTTTGTGTACGTACATTACATTTTCATAAATGTATTGAGAGGCCAGGGTTAATATTTTAATTTCCTTAAATTTTTGTCTCAGTGACTCTTTTGGTTTTAAATTATATATTGCTCTAATGGCCCTCTTCTGTAAAATAAATATAATTTCAGTGTCAGTCGCGTGTCCCCATAGCAAAATACCATACGACATAATGTTATGGAAATAACTAAAGTAAACTATTCTAGCTGTTTCAACACTGGTAAGAGTTCTAATCTTTTACACAACATATGCTGCAGAACTAAGTCTGCTAGCTAGTTTTGATATATGGGGGAGCCATTGAAGCTTTGCGTCCAGTGTGATTCCAAGAAAAATGGTGGTATCAACAGGACTCAGTTCCCCCCCCCCATTTAAAATTACATTAGTATTGACAAGTTTAACATTAGGAGTTACGAATTTCGTACATTTAGTTTTAGTTCCATTCAAATGCAAATTATTAACATTAAACCAATTGACTAACTTAGCTATAGCATTATTTACTTCGTCGTAATTTGATAACTGTCGTTTTAATTTGAAAATTAATGAAGTATCATCAGCAAATAATACTATATAATGGTTATCCCCTACTATGTAAGGTAAGTCATTAATGTATACTAGAAATAGAAAAGGTCCGAGAATTGAGCCCTGAGGCACGCTCATTTGTAAAATCGACCCGGAAGAACTCATACTATTAATGACAACTTTTTGCGTTCTGTCACTTAAATATGAAATAATTAATTTAAGAGCATCGCTTCTTACACCGTAGTGTTGAAGTTTCCTGATTAATGTTCATGGTGAACACAATCGAAGGCTTTGGATATGTCACAGAATACACCCAAAGCATCCTGTGAATTCTCCCATGCATCAAATATATATAATAAGCTCAACACCAGCATCAATGTCGAGCGACCCCTTGTGAAACCAAATTGATTTTTATGAAGTAAATTATTTATATTAAAAAAATTTAACATTTGATCAAGAATAATTTTTTCAAAAATTTTACTAAGTGTTGGCAGTACAGAAATAGGTCTAAAATTAGCGGGGTCCAATGTACTACCAGATTTAAATAAAGGTATTACTTTACTATGCTTCATTAAATCAGGAAACACACCAGATTCAATACTAGTATTAAAAATAATAGATAGTTGAAGTGCGATCGCATCTATTATAGACGCAATAACTTTAACAGAAATCCCCCACAGATCGGCGGTTTTCTTAATATCAATAGTCTTTGTGCCGTGTAGTGGCGGTTAAGAATATCCACTACCCCATATCTTCCCGTGGGTGTCGTAAGAGGCGACAGAGGGAGACAGGCAGGAGATGGGCAGCAGCGTCTTCCTGATGACAACTGTCACGTAATAAAAAACTGCGGTTGCCAACCCGCTCGCCAAGCGTGGCAACTATGGCAAATACCCCCCAATGAATAAATACACAAACAGACGGCCCCCAGTCCCCGGCGGCCCCGCTATTCCCGGCTACGGTGGCGACCATGGTAACGGCGGGGTAGGGGGTGCTAAGAATCTCCGGTGGAGGTTCGGTTGCCACCTACGACGACTCGACCTGGCAACATATAACGCACGCACCCTGAGGACTGACGAGAAGATACTGGAGCTGGAAGAAGAGGTAGACAAGTTGCGCTGGCATATTATTGGATTATCCGAGGTCCGAAGAGAGGGGGAGGACACGGCAATCCTCGAGTCCGGCAACTTGTTCTATCACCGGTAGGGCGACCATCTGTCCCAAGGAGGTGTCGGATTTATCGTCCACAAATCTCTCGTCAACAACGTTGTAAAGATTGGGAGTGTGTCGACGAGGGTCGCGTACCTGATACTCAGAATCACCAAACGGTATTCGCTGAAGGTCATTCAGGTTTACGCACCAACCTCGGCACATCCCGATGAGGAGGTGGAGGAAATGTATGAGGATATTTCCAGAGCCATACATTCCTCCAAAACCTACTACACGGTGTTGATGGGAGACTTCAACGCAAAACTGGGCACAAGAGAAAGCGGTGAGCTGAAGGTAGGGAAATTTGGAGTAGGGCAACGGAACCGAAGGGGCCAGCAGCTGGCCGACTTTATGGAGAAAGAGGGACTCTTTATGATGAACTCTTTCTTCCAGAAGCGGCCCCACAGGAAGTGGACCTGGTCGAGCCCCGACGGTTCGACAAAAAATGAGATTGACTTCATTATGACGACCAGACGCCAACTGTTCAGTGATGTCTCAGTGATCGCAAGGGTGAAAACTGGCAGCGATCACCGAATAGTTAGAGGCACACTGAACCTAAACGTTAAGTTGGAGAGGTCTCGTCTAATGAAGTCAACGCTCCGTCCCCCTCGTGCTCTAATCCAGAATCCCGAAACCTTTCAGCTCGAGTTACGTAACCGCTTCCAGTGCCTAGAAGATTGCAATGCAGTGGACGATATGAACGACAAGCTCGTGGAAACTGTCCATGCGGTCGGAGCTAAGTTCTGTAAGACCTGCCGCAGAAGAACACAAAAACTCTCCGATCACACTCTTAATCTCATGGCTGTTAGACGGGAGATGAGGCTGCAATCGTCAACAGATTTGACAGCATACAGGCAACTGAACAGACAGATCTCCAAATGCATACGGCGAGACTTACGCAACTTTAATACTTCTCGTATTAAAGAAGCGATCGAGCGGAACCAGGGCTCCAAAGTCTTTGCCAGAGATCTGTCTGCCAGAAAGAGCCAACTGTCAAGGCTGAAGACTGAGTGTGGCAACATCGTTTCCGGGACACCTGAGATTTTGAGTGAGATTGAGAGGTTCTATGGGCAGCTGTACACATCATCGTTGGAGCCACACGCAAGTGTGAGTAACGATCCAAGAGCAAGTCTTATCCGACACTATTCCGATGATATCCCGGACGTCAGTCTAAGCGAGATTAGAATGGCTCTCCAGCACCTTAAAAACGGCAGGGCCCCAGGCGAGGATGGAATTACAGCGGAGCTTCTGAAAGCGGGTGGAACACCGGTACTTGAAGTCCTTCAGAAGCTCTTCAATTCCGTCCTCCATGGTGGCACTACTCCAGAGGCGTGGAGCAGAAGTGCGGTGGTCTTGTTCTTTAAGAAAGGCGACAACGCTCTCTTGAAGAACTACAGACCGATTTCCCTTCTGAGCCGCGTCTACGTGCTGTTTTCGAGAGTCATTACGAATCGTCTCGCACGCAGACTTGACGACTTCCGGCCTCCCGAACAAGCCGGTTTCCGAAAAGGCTTCAGTACCATAGACCACATACATACCCTGCGGCAGATTGTACAGAAGACTGAAGAGTACAATCTGCCACTTTGCCTGGCGTATGTGGACTATGAGAAAGCCTTTGATTCCGTCGAAATTTGGGCGGTGCTACAGTCCCTTCAGCGGTGCCAAGTTGACTGTCGGTATATCGAAGTGCTGAAGTGTTTGTACAGTAGGGCTACGATGGCTATCCGAGTACAGAACCAGAGCTCGAAACCTATCCAACTGCAGAGAGGTGTAAGACAGGGTGACGTTATATCCCCCGAAACTCTTCACCGCTGCATTGGAAGACGTTTTCAAGCTACTGGACTGGAAAGGATACGGTATTGACATCAATGGCGAGTACATCACTCACCTTCGATTTGCCGACGATATAGTCCTTATGGCAGAATCGCTGGAGGACTTAAGCACTATGCTCAATGACCTCAATAGTGCCTCCCAACGGATAGGTCTTAAGATGAACATGGACAAAACAAAGATCATGTTCAATGTCCATGTCACACCTATGCCGGTAGTTGTTGGGAGCACTATGCTCGAAGTTGTTGACGAATACGTTTACCTGGGACAAATAGTCCGACTAGGTAAGTCCAACTTCGACCGAGAGGTCAATCGACGGATTCAACTCGGCTGGGCAGCGTTCGGGAAATTACGGCATATCTTTTCGTCAGGTATACCTCAATCTCTAAAAACTAGATTGTACAACCAGTGCGTGTTGCCAGTGATGACTTACGGATCTGAGACGTGGTCCTTCACTGCTGGCCGTATGAGGACGCTTAAGGTCGCTCAGCGAGCTATGGAGAGGGCTATGCTCGGAGTTTCTCTGCGTGATAGACTCAGAAATGAGGATATCCGCAGTAAAACCAGAGTGACCGACATAGCCCAACGGATTAGTAAGCTGAAGTGGCAATGGGCCGGCCATATAGCTCGAAGAACCGATAACCGATGGGGAAGAAAGGTTCTCGAGTGGCAGCCTCGTACCGGTAGGCGTAGTGTAGGGCGACCCCCCACTAGATGGAGTGACGACCTGGTAAGACATGCAGGAAGTCGATGGATGCAGGTGGCTCAGGACCGTGCTTTGTGGCATTACTTGGGGGAGGCCTATGTTCAGCAGTGGACTTGTGAAGGGCTGTAATGATGATGATGA